GGAATTTGCGGCGGTTTCTTTACGGCGGACCTGACTTACGTTTTTTGCGGCGGCAAAGTAACGAGCGGGCTGTGCGGACGCCGGTACCGTGAAGGAGAGCCAGGAAAGCACCGGACCAGGAGACCACGAGGAAACAGGTAAGGAAAATCCAAGATGGCGGTCTGAATCGGAAGTAAAACGCTTCTGACTCGCCAGACCAGCAACGGTAAGGTGGGAGTGGATTGGCAGCCTTTTTAAAGGGGAACTAAGCCCCTCCCACAACTACAGGCCAAGCCTTCAAATATATATAATTTTCAGAGTCAGCCACAAGGTAAGTACACAAGGACACACTGGTCCTTCTAGATTAGTCATACCAGGATCTCTTCCCTAGGTCTAAACTCTGGTATGATGAGACTCTGGCATACAGACATTGGTGTGTGCTATTTCATTGCTTTCTGCTCCTATGGAGGGGGGAGCCCTCCAACAGCTTGTTGCCTAGAGATAGTCAATGGCTTGGTCCAGAAACGCAACTGCAGTATTTGCCCCTCCAGCACATACTTAGCCCTATTCCCTTTCTCCTTAGTGGAGGCTGCTGGAAAGGAAGCAATAAAGAGGGAACTTGATGAGTATCTCTTTGTTGTAATTCCTTAATTCCAAAAGGTCAGTAAAATCCCTTGTTTACTCCCTACACAGGGGAGGGGAATGGGGGAAAGGGTCAGGAACCTAAACAAACATTAAGGCCTCACTGGGCCACACAAGCTAGCCGAATCTTAAAAAATGTATGACCTGATAGGAATACTGGGCACTGTACAGAGACCCTGGTGCCTCTGAGAAGGGATAAAGAGTAAAGGGCAGAGCCCAATGCTTGCTAGTATTGTATATTGCTGGGGGACCCATGCCAGGAGAGAGGGAATGTGGGGGCCTGTGCCCTGACCGGGCCAGGCCGGGGCCGGATGCCTGACCCACACGTGATTACCCAACTGGGCGAGCATGTGGGGTGGGGCGGCTCCGGTCTGGCCTGCTGGGGGCCCGGGCTCTAGCGGAAGACGTAGACTTATGAGGCATACCTAATGTTTTTTACTACTGTCCTGCATTGCCGGGGGACCCCTGCTTGGAAGGGAGAGATGTGGGGACCTCCTGACCCGCGCGTGACGACCCACTTAGGTGAACGCGTGGGGTAGCCGGCGCCGGCCCGGCCTGCTGGGGGCCCGGGCTCCCAAGGAGTGGAGGGGAGAGAGACAGAACCCATGCGGTGAGGGGGGTGGGGGGGCGGCCGGGTGGGACTGCGGGTATGACAGGTGCATGAGCGCAGGGACCAGGTCGCAGGGGCGCACCCAACATGAAGCCCCATGACTGGAATGTTATAACTGTTATAACTGTTTCACATGTTTCATATTTTACATTTTTCATATGCTTAAGGTTTCCCCCTCTAACTTTTCATATATACACATGCTCAAAATTTAAATCTGACACACATCATAACTAGAAGGCCCCAGGGCCAACATCTCACAAGGCGAGGAACATAAAGTTGACACACATGCAAACAGAGCCAACAGGGGACGACGTCGGAGGAGTTCATAAAAGGACTGCCTACGATTTGGTAGACCCCACCCTCACGCGCGCTGCCTAGTGGTTCGCAACTTCCTTCGACCCCCCCTTAGGATAGGGCGCAAGGTACTGGGCGGGTAATCGCCCCTTATCCCTGGTGGACAGGCGCTTACCCCTACCCAGACGCTCGTACCTAGACAGCGCTCTTGCAGGCGCTGGTTCCCTTCCCACGCTGATTGATCCTACCCCTCCCAACCTTCCCCCCCTCCCCATCCCCGACCACGACCATGACCATGTCACTGCGACCGGCATATCTTCATATCACCACAATCAACGCCAAAGGACTAAATAAACCTGAAAGACGCTCACATGCCCTGAGAAACTTCCACAGCACTGGAGCGTCTATTGTATATATGCAGGAGAGATGGATCTAGACCCAAAATGACTGACCATCACTATACCAAGGGCTACTACAGTGACTATAGTGCGGGCAAATCGAGAGTGGCCACCATACTAATACACAAACACGTACCGTTCACAGAAATAGCGACTGAGACTGACCCCGAGGGGAGATTCCTGTTCCTGAAGGGCATGATAGCAGACACCACCTACACCTTCGCTAATATATACGCCCCCAACCAGAGACACTATAGGTTTTTCACCCGCATTCTACGTTTACTCCGATCATTCACGGAGGGCATACTGATCCTAGGAGGGGACTTCAACTTGACCATGGACCCGAAATGGGACTCGTCCTCAGGGACCTCGAGAGTCCCGCTCCAACACCTGACTCACATCAAGACCCTTTTCCGACGCTTACACCTCCTGGACTGCTGGAGGGCACACCATCCAGACGAACGGGACTAAATGTTCCTGTCCTACCCACATAACACATACACACGACTAGATTACTTCTTTATGTCCCACTATGACCTGGCCCTGGTGAGGGCAGTGGAACACGGTACGGCAACGTGGTCAGACCACGCGCCGGTTTCTCTCACTCTAACGTCCCCACTATATAGGCCCAAGGTCTCCAAATGGAGACTAAACGAATATATGCTGTCTCTCCCAGAGATCGTAACGGAAACGAGTAAACTATTGGGAGACTACTTTACATAAAATACCCCAGACCAGACCTCACACACTTACTTGGGAGGCACACAAATGCGTGGTTAGGGGTCACCTCATACAAAAAGGGGCATGGCTGAAAAGACAACGAGAGGCACAAATTACAACACTCATACAAGACATACACGCGATAGATGAATCCAACAAAAGGGACGGACGCCTAGACAACCAGGTAAAGCTGCTCCAGCTACGGCGGGAACTAGCCGCACTCCTACACGCTAGACACCACAGGGAAGCAGCGCGGCACAACACATTTTTCACTATCCATGGCTACAAGAGTGGAAAACTCCTCGCGAGAATGCTCACCAAGCGTAGACAACACCTATATATTGAAAAGATACGGGACAAAACAGGTACTCTTCACCGCCTCCCCGACAAGGTTCAGGAGGTGATACACTCATACTACTCCGAGCTGTATTCCCTCCCAGGGCCGCAAGACCCGCAGACACAAACCAACCTCATACACAAAATACAAAAATTCCTGCAGACACATACACAAACGCGCATAGAAAGGGACACAGCAGAAGCGCTTGATGAACCCATTACCGCGGAAGAACTGGCGTGGGCAGTTAAAGTGACAAAACCAGGCAAAAGCCCGGGTCCAGATGGCCTCCCGCTGCGCTACTACAGGGAGTGCAGAATTATTAGGCAAGTTGTATTTTTGAGGATTAATTTTATTATTGAACAACAACCATGTTCTCAATGAACCCAAAAAACTCATTAATATCAAAGCTGAATATTTTTGGAAGTAGTTTTTTAGTTTGTTTTTAGTTATAGCTATGTTAGGGGGATATCTGTGTGTGCAGGTGACTATTACTGTGCATAATTATTAGGCAACTTAACAAAAAACAAATATATACCATTTCAATTATTTATTATTACCAGTGAAACCAATATAACATCTCAACATTCACAAATATACATTTCTGACATTCAAAAACAAAACAAAAACAATCAGTGACCAATATAGCCACCTTTCTTTGCAAGGACACTCAAAAGCCTGCCATCCATGGATTCTGTCAGTGTTTTGATCTGTTCACCATCAACATTGCGTGCAGCAGCAACCACAGCCTCCCAGACACTGTTCAGAGGGGTGTACTGTTTTCCCTCCTTGTAAATCTCACATTTGATGATGGACCACAGGTTCTCAATGGGGTTCAGATCAGGTGAACAAGGAGGCCATGTCATTAGATTTTCTTCTTTTTTACCCTTTCTTGCCAGCCACACTGTGGAGTACTTGGACGCGTGTGATGGAGCATTGTCCTGCATGAAAATCATGTTTTTCTTGAAGGATGCAGACTTCTTCCTGTACCACTGCTTGAAGAAGGTGTCTTCCAGGAACTGGCAGTAGGACTGGGAGTTGAGCTTGACTCCATCCTCAACCCGAAAAGGCCCCACAAGCACATCTTTGATGATACCAGCCCAAACCAGTACTCCACCTCCACCTTGCTGGCGTCTGAGTCGGACTGGAGCTCTCCGCCCTTTACCAATCCAGCCACGGGCCCATCCATCTGGCCCATCAAGACTCACTCTCATTTCATCAGTCCATAAAACCTTAGAAAAATCAGTCTTGAGATATTTCTTGGCCCAGTCTTGACGTTTCAGCTTGTGTGTGTTGTTCAGTGGTGGTCGTCTTTCAGCCTTTCTTACCTTGGCCATGTCTCTGAGTATTGCACACCTTGTGCTTTTGGGCACTCTGAAATATGGCCAAACTGGTGGCAAGTGGCATCGTGGCAGCTGCACGCTTGACTTTTCTCAGTTCATGGGCAGTTATTTTGCGCCTTGGTTTTTCCACACACTTCTTGCGACCCTGTTGACTATTTTGAATGAAACGCTTGATTGTTCGATGATCACGCTTCAGAAGCTTTGCAATTTGTGCTGCATCCCTCTGCAAGATATCTCACCATTTTTGACTTTTCTGAGCCTGTCAAGTCCTTCTTTTGACCCATTTTGCCAAAGGAAAGGAAGTTGCCTAATAATTATGCACACCTGATATAGGGTGTTGATGTCATTAGACCACACCCCTTTCTCATTACAGAGATGCACATCACCTAATATGCTTAATTGGTAGTAGGCTTTCGAGCCTATACAGCTTGGAGTAAGACAACATGCATAAAGAGGATGATGTGGTCAAAATACTCATTTGCCTAATAATTCTGCACTCCCTGTATAAATGCTTTGCAGAGACCCTATACACACCGATGGTGGCCTCCTTTAACGCGATCAGGGAGGGACACCACTGGCCCACACAATCCCTCATGGCACACATCACAATCATACCCAAGGAGGGCAGAGACGGAGAGCATTGCGGCAACTACAGACCAATCTCCCTCATAAACTGTGACCTGAAATTGATGGCGAAGATACTGGCAACCCGCCTACAACAACACATCCCCACACTGGTCCACCCAGACCAGGTGGGGTTCGTGATGGGTCGCGAGGCCAGGGACAACACTATAAGGGCACTATCGATAGTGCACGGGGGACCGGCCAGGTGCGGAGGCCTTCTCCTGCTATCCACGGACGCGGAGAAGGCCTTCGACAGGATCAGATGGCCATACCTGTTTCAGGCCCTTATACACTTGGGTTTGGGGACGCACATGAGGGGATGGATAGAGGCCCTGTATAGGCAACCTAGGGCACAAGTCATTGTCAATGGCGCACCCACAAAGGCATTCACCATACACAACGGCACCCGCCAGGGGTGTCCCCTGTCGCCGCTGCTCTTCGTCCTGGCCCTAGAGCCGTTTCTCCACGCGGTGAGGCACAATCCAGACATCCAGAGGGTGGAATTGGGGGCACACACCATAAGGTCGCGGCTTATGCCAACGACCTTCTATTCTTCGTCACAAATCCCGAAATCTCACTCCCGAACATAATCAAAGCCTTCAGAGACTACGGCATCCTGTCCAACATGAAAATAAATTTCAAAAAGTCATACATACTTAACGTCTCAGTGCCCCGGCATAGGGAGGGCACACTCCGCCATAGCCACCCGTTCCAGTGGGCAGACACCAAAGTTAGATACCTGGGCATTTGGCTCACCAAACACAGCACGAGCCTATTTACAGAAAACTTCACCCCGATGCTGGCCTCGTTCGGGAGGGATACAGGGGATTGGTCGTATCCTCACATCTCCTGGCTTGGACGAGTCCAAGTAGTCAAAATGAATTTTCTCCCTCGGCTTCTATATCTGATGCAAGCAATGCCCATATGTATTCCCCAAACTTACTTCAGTTCTCTTCGCAAGGTACTAGAGGGATATGTGTGGAACGGGAGGAGACCCAGGCTCAAATTCTCACAACTCACACAACCGAAAGACAAGGGGGGTATGGCGCTACCAGATTTCCATCTCTATTACGCCTCCTGCCACCTCCTGCGAATCTTGGAATGGTCGAAAGCCAACGTACATAAACTGTGGAAGTCGGTGGAGGAGGCAGAACAAGGGATCCCCATAGCGCTCGCCCCATGGTTACCACCAGGGAAGCGAGGAAACATACCCATATACGTGAAATCGACCCTGCAGGTGTGGCACAGGATGGCAGCCTCACCCCATACCCATCACCGCTGACCCCCCTGACACATAATATGGAGTTTCCACCAGGACTCGACCCCCTGGCCTTCAGAGACCTTATCCCAGACCCCCTACCCTAACCTAGGTTACACCACGTATACACTCAGACAGGCCCGAGGACCCTTACAGAAATTATAGGCAAACACACCACCACCTTTGCACAGGAATACAAATACACCCAGCTGAAGAGCTACCTTAAGACCCTCCCCCAGGGGCAAGCACTGGAACGCGCCCCCACGTGGTTCGAACAACTATGTCTCGACCCAGAAGCCCTCCCCCACGGTGTATCCACCTTATACAACTCACTAGCACTGGCGGATCCAGGGGGGGGCAACGGGGCAATTGCCCCCCCCCAGAAATCCGCCGGTCTCCCTCCCCTGTCAGCACATGCAGGTGCCAGCCCTGCAATGTGCCTGCGGACCGGGGAGGAAGATCAGAGATCTCCCTCCCCGGTCCGCAGGCACTGTGCTGACAGCCGGCGGGGGAGGGAGAGGGAGGACCCGGGAGCTCAGTCTGCAGCTCCTCCGGGTCCTCCTCTCGCGAGATTTGGAGCGTTGCCGCGGTTACCGCGGCAATGCTCCAAATCTCGCAAGAGTGAACTCTAGCCCTGGAGCGCGGGCTAGAGTTCACTGTAACCACTGGGACCACCAGGGAATCACCACTGGGACCACCAGGGATGAAAATATGTCCCCCCTCCTCCTCAATAAAGGTAAGAAGGGAGGGGGGGCATAGAATATTTGTTTTTTTTAATTAAATAAATAAAGATATATATTATAAAAAAAAGCCCCCCCCTACTCTTAACACACACACACACACACACACACACATAGCCCCCATACTGCCCCCCCATACACATACCCCACCCCCATACACATACTTTGCTGCCCCCCATACACACATACTACCCCCATGCTGCCCCCCATACACACATACTGCCCCCCCATACATACTGCCCCCATACACACATACTGCCCCCCCATACTGCCCCAATACCCACATACTGCCCCACATACAAATACTGCCCCATACACATACTGCCCCCATACACACACATACTGCCCCCATGCCCTTTATACACACATACTGCCTTCATACACATACTGCCCCCATGCTTGCCCCCTACACACATATACTGCCCCCATGCCCGCCCCCCATACACACATACTGCCCCCATACACACATACTGCCCCCCATACACACATACTGCCCCCCATTTTCTTTCCCCTCCCCCTCTTTTTTTCTGTTCTCCTTTTATGTTCCAAGGCGATAAGCACTAAGTGCAATTAATGGGACCTGCGTGTCCCTGTAAATGCCTTCTTATGATATGATACAACTGAAATTGAAATACTGGAAACACGTAATAAAATATATATTCACAAAAAAGAAATACACATCTTTTTTTCCCAAACGCCATAGTGTTACTTTAACTCCTATAAAAAATGAAAATACTGCAGAATGAATGAAGAGTAAGGAACTGTAGTAATCTCAGTCTATACTGATCAACAATTATTAACATACAGTTAGGTCTGGAAATATGTGGATAGTGACACAATTTTCATAATTTTGGCCACCACAATGTCGGGCACGTGGACTGAATAAGGAGCAGCCTCATGAGGTTTGATGGAGCGGAGTTTGTTGGTAAGTATAGCTTGCAGTAAGTGTAACACGCTAGGATTTAGGCACAGGGCAGCTCGCACTACCAGTAAAGCGGAAGGCTCGTGGCCAGGGCAAGAGCCCTGATAGGTAGTAGTTTGCAGCGCGAGTTTCACAGTGGAGAGGATTTCGGGAGTATAAATTTAAAGGCACCAAAATTATTTTCCTCAGCTTGTGCCAGACAAATCTGAAGGTTGGCTGTTTTTAAATATTTAAGCTGCTGCTCCCACCCACCCTCCCTTCAATTAGGAACCTTATTATTAACCTTATTCAATGTCGTGACCTTATTATGGGATATAAATTGCCCTCCTGGTCATCACAGGAGGGTGGATTTGGTGTATTTGGTTTAAGATATATTTATGGCTCCTGACTTTGTGGGGGGCGGAGCCTTGCAAAGTGGTTATGGTTACTATGTTGGTTTGGTTTAACCCTTTAAGGACATTTTACTCCCCCTGCTGCCTGTAAAATGTAAAAAAAAAAAAAAATGTTAAACAAGTTTAAAATTACATTATATATACTTAGATCATATATATATATATATATATATATATATATATATATATATATATATATATATATAAACAAAACCAAGAGGGCTGCACTCACCTAAACATGCATACATTACAGGGTGCTGCTGGGGCCAAAATATATAAAATACAGAATCCAGCGCACTCGCTTATTCACTAAACAATGCTTTCAAAATCTTAGAGATTGTAATAGTTTTATTTAAAAACACCTTACCTAGGCAAAAAATAATGGGGTTTAGTTACATTATATGATCATATATTGCATAAGCCTGCCACAACGTCAATGTACCCCATTCTTGGCAGGTCCTACTCTAGCAGCCTAATGCTTGCCCTTATGAGATTAATCCACTTACTTGGGAAATACTTCCTTACTGGGACTCTCTGCAAGTCAAGGCTAAATAGGGTCCTGGAATGAGGCACCTGTGACAGGGAGGGGTGCAAAACCAAGGAGCTGGCCTGGACTCCCAAATATACAAACAAAACCAAGAGGGCTGCACTCACCTGAACATGCATACATTACAGGGTGCTGCTGGGGCCAAAATATATAGAAAAATAATTTGTTAAACTAATTTGCATATGCCCACCCAGAATCCTTTGCGGTTGTAACATCACTGCTGATTTGGGATTTCTGTGGGAAAAGCAAGTCTTATGGCTTGACTGGTGTGCAGATTTTTGTTTAGCATTGTATTAACTATATATATATATATATATATATATATATATATATATATATATATAAAAATAGATTCTGATGACCATCTCAGGCAAATCCAAATAACAGATATGACCAACAAATTCCTTGAACGGGGTTACAGTAGACAAAGTTTGGTAGCAGCGTTACAAAAGGCAAAGAATGCACACGCCCCAAAAGGTCTTTCTACGACCCCCAGGATGGTATTTCTATTTCCTATGACTTACCACAACAAATCTTCATTG